TTGAGAGAAATCAATTTACAACAAGCATTTCCACTTCTCTTAATTTATCGAAGCGCACAGTTCAAAATCTTGTCGTTAAGTTAAACAGAGGAGAATTCGACGACATGACTGCATTCAAGTTGTCTTCTGATAAAAAACGAGGTAAAAGACCTATAAACGCTCAAATAAAAAATATTATCGAATTATGCGTACAAGAAAACAATCTTTGCACGCAAGAAACAATAAAAGAAAATCTTTCTGCAGCAGGCTTCAACATGTCTCAGCCTACTATTTCAAGAAAACTCAAACGCTCGGATTTATCAAGAAAACGTGTTGTGCATGTGCCAGAAGAACGAAATTCAACACGAATTATTAATGCACGCTATGCATTTTCAAGCGAAATTAACGGAATTTCAGATGAAAAACTTATTCATTTGGATGAAACTGGATTTAATGTGCACACTAACAGCACATATGGTTATTCGCTAAGAGGTGCGCCAGCAATTTTACAGTCGCCTGCAAATCGTGGCAAGAATGTTAGTTTACTTTATGCTGTTTCAACAATGGGAGTGCTTGCTTATGAAACAAAAACTGGAGGCTGGAATCCAGATTCATTTTGTACTTTCATAACTACAATGATGGCACCAGCGATTAGGAATGCAAATGTGGAAGCGCCGGTGCTTGTTATGGACAATTGTAAATTCCACTGGAGTCTTTCTGTTAGGCAAACACTAGCCTCTCATGGTATAGCTATTAAGTATCTGCCAGCTTACACGCCACAGCTTAATCCAATAGAAGAATTTTTTTCTTCTTTAAAACATACTTACAAACAGGGAGAAAGGCTTCGAAATACGGATGAGGTAATCAGGAAACTTAAAAATATTATGGATACTACAGAGTTTAATATAGTTCCATTTTACAACCATATGCGTAGTTATATAAATCAAGCGCTGGCTCGGCAACCATTTCTTAAATAAATAACAATGAAAACAACCTAACTTATATTTTAAATACGTCTTTATAAAAATTTAAAAGCGTATTTATCGTTTATATTAAATTATATTAGAGATTTTATGGGTGGTTGACGCATATACAAACATAGGGATGTATAATTTGATATTAATAATAATTATAAATAAGTAAATTTAAATCGAGATAAATGAATAATTAGATAAATAATAACTTAATCAAGAAATTTAATAATAAAATTACAAAGAACTAATAATAAATTAAATAAACTATCATCGAAAACAAAGAACTAATACTAAATTAAATAAACCATTGTCGAATATAAAAAGTCTTCGTTTTAAGTATTTTTAACCTCGTTTACCTGGAAATAAGAATAATTTGTTTTGGAAAAATAAACTGTTTTTTCAAAACAAATTGCTTAAATGATATTTTTTTGTTCAAATTGCTTTTTTACAATTGCTTTTGTAAAACGCATATAAGAATGAATAAATGCGCATATAAAAATGAATAAATGCGCATATAAAAATGAATAAATGCGCATATAAGAATGAATAAAGGCGCATATAAAAATGAATAAATGCGCATATAAGAATGAATAAAGGCGCATATAAAAATGAATAGACGCGCATATAAGAATGAATAATCCTGTAAGTTCACGGTAAATGTCTAATTTATTTGTAATGTGTTTATTACCACAAAGTATTTTTTGAGGTATGCTAAAAGGTTTCTTTTTTTCTCTACCAGTTACTCCGTTCATAACAGACTTTGTTTTTTATGTCTAATTTATTTTTATTTAGCAGATTAGAATAATGCATTGTTTTAGCTTGTCTAATATTTTTTTGAAAAAACTGTTTATAGGCTTTGTATATTTTTTCATCACCTTCATCCTTTAATTTCAAAAATTTTATATAAAGTTTTTGTTTTCTTTTAGACGATTTTATAGGACTATCCGTCATTCACTCTTTATCTTTTACTTCAGATGTTATTATTGGTCAGACAGAATCAAAAACACATTTAAAAGTAGCCGTAAAGTTATTAAGTGCCTGATTTTGATCCTTAGCTGAATAATTTCCAGGACTCTTCAAATAGTTTATTTTTAAATTATCGAATTTTTTTTTTCAACACTTAACTTGTAGTTTGCAATTATTCAGTTGCAGTAATAAGATCTAATTTTTTTGTTTTTAATAATTTTGATGATAAAGTTACTTTACTCAAAATCTTTGAACATATTACGTAAAAAAATACAAATTCAAATGGTGTTGTTTTCAGAAAATTTTTTTGATAACATAGTTTTCTGATGCTTAGACACCTCTTCACTGACTTCTTTTTTCTGACTTCTTAACATAATTCAGCAAGCGCTTTCATTATGCAAATAAAGAGAAGCTTAGCTGCCAAAAGTGAAGTGTACCTTTCAAACCTGCGAGTTAGATTCAATCTTTTAAGTGTGATATTTATCAGTTAATTAAAAATAAAAATTATGATTTTATAAAATTTAAATCCCCCTCAAATTGAGGGGGATTTAAATTTTATATGATCATTTTTGAACGCTGATGATATATGATGATATATGGTGATATATATATGATCATATTTTTTGAACGCTGAGAAATTATACTATGAAATTTAAAAATTATTAATGAATGTAACTTTAGGTGAGAAAATTGAATTGACATAAATATAATGATATAAATGTTTGGAGTTTATTCCATGTCTGGAAATTAGTTATCTCAAATAACAAAAAATGCTGAATTCGCCACTGATATATATATATATATATATATATATATATATATATATATATATATATATATATATATATATATATATATATGTGTGTGTGTGTACGTATATTATGTTAGTATATTTTACAAATAGAGTAATCAATGTTCTCGAAGAACAGAGCATTAATAAATTTGAAAAAACGCTTATCTAACTTTGTCTTCGACAGGCTGTTTCTCCATCTTGTAGGTAACTTCCTGGTTGAAAAATAACTACAGTTATTACATAATTAATTATAACAATTCACAACTTCCTGTGAAATATTTGTTCTATAGTTTTATCTATGTGTGTGTATATTTGTATACTTTAAATTTAATTTTCAAGTTATCCTTGGAAGTTGTAGGATATCCATAGATCCGTCTCGAAGACTGAGTTTAAGATATTTTAAAAGGTTTAAAAGAATTATTTGTGTAAACGTTTTAATTGTTTCAGCGGCGTTCTTTGTTGTGCGTATTTTTTAGGCAGGCATTATTTGTACCCGCTTATTTAAAAACTATTATTATTTATTTTAACTATTTCACCAGAAAATCTAATGTAATTTAATTGAATAATTTTTTAATACAAAATATTTGTAAACTCATTAATAAAACTAAAACTAAACTCATTAATAAAACTAAAATTAAATAAATATTGAAATGCTTCTTTTTTAGTTCAAAGAATGCTTGCCCAAAACCAAACTCTCAGTCGATGTATGTATCCACTACGCTTGTTAATATCTATGTCAGATAACGGCTACAGAACATACACTACACTGCGATTAAGACTATATAAGTCAATTTATGTATGCATTGACGCACTTCTACGAAACTTTAAAATATAAAAACTATATATTATATTTTATATTTATCTTTTTAATAAATAAAACGGTAATGCTATCTCATAAGGTAGACGTTGTGACATCCAAGGAGCTACACTCTTTAATTCAGAATCAATCTTGATTAATTTTATTTGGTATTAGTATTTTTATTTATCTTTATCATAATTTCAAAAACCGTTTTAACGTAACATTTGAATCAGTGAATGTTAAAAGGGCGGAACTCCAACTATAAAAAACCTTCAGGAAACTATAAAAAACTACATTTTCCCCATTGACAAAAATTCTTCTAAATTATTGTCAATGGTTTAATAATTTTTTTTTTTTGAAGAGGATAATGTTTTTCACCTTAAAAAAAAAATTTAACCATTTACAAAAATTTACTACGGGGAAAAATGCAGTTTTTTTAGTTTCCGAAAGTTTACATTATTAGGCTAAAATTCACCGATTCATACATACAACTTGTCCGTGTAGCATTTTACTCTACATAAAGTTTAAATCATTGCAAACAATTATCAGAAAAAAGGTTAGGTTTAAAAAAAAATCAACTTTATTACTTATTATGAATGACGTCTTCAAAAATTATAGACAAATGACTGTAATTGATAAAGGTTGTATATAAATATACATCACACACATTCACAGTAATAATATCGTCAATATACTACTAATAATAATCAATTTAGATTAATTTAAAATCTTACGCACTTATGACTGTATGTAATTGAGAATATGACACGGTTTGTAAGCCTATATCAATATATTTATAGTTTTATCAAATATTTCATTTGCAAAAAAATTAAAGTTTTAAGTTAATACTTTTAAATATTTTAAAGATTGTGGTTTGCCTCAACCTGATTACAAAAATCATTTTGTGATCAGATTGCTTTTTATCTTGTTTTAATACTACTTTTGTCAATTTTATTGACAAAAATACAACGTCACAAAATACATTTTTACTTGGGGAGTAAAAATTTTATGACTGTAAAAAATCAATTTAAGATTTTTACTGGTAAAATAAAAATATAGAATTAAGTTTTTTAATGGGGAGTAAAAACTTGTTACTAGTAAAAAACGTAGTAGTAAAAATCTCATACTATACTGGATTTTAAATAAGTAAAGAAATCTTCATAATATATCATATGGCTTGACTAAAGCGTGTTTATCATTTTCAATTCTGTTACAAAAAATTTTATTTTCAAAAGTAGTTTATTTTTCATAAAAGTTTTGATGAAACTAATTATTTATTTTATAGAAAATGACGAAGAGCGTCTGAATAAAAAAGCAAATTTCAAAATGTCGTCATAAAAATAAGTTTCTATTAAGCAACTACAAACTCAAAGATTAATTTAAATAGAACAATCCACGTGTACATAACAATAGTTTTACGTACGTAATTTCTTTTGAATATAAATATTTTTAACAGAAAAAAACCTTTACAGTTTACCTGATGATTGCAAATAGCATGAAACTAATATTTGTATGAAGTACATATAGTATTTATTTTTATTTTCAATACACATTTTTATAGCTCTAATTTAAGTCATCGAGCACTTTTTGAAAGTATGTGCAAAACAACATCAGTACACACATATATCACGGTCGTTTGTAAGAGGAAAGTTATTATACGCATGCGCAGTGAAATTACATTTTTTGAAGGTTTTTTAAAATGGCTACGGTAACAGGATTTTAGAAACTAATCATTGACAACGAGTAATTTGTTTAATTTTAGATAATTAAATAGGCTTTTAACTAGTTTTTTCATGAAATTATTTTAAAAATAGCTTGCAGCTGTACGAAGAAATTTTAAAAATAAAATACAAGATCTCTGAATGTGAATAATATCTACTTTCAACTAAAGCAACTTTAGTTTTTTTGTTTACAATTTTTAAACCTTTTTTAAAATATTTTTGAGCGTAGAAATTTTTTAATTTAAATTTATTCAGCAAGATGAACCTTTTATCTATTTTGTATTTTTTGCTTATATGAGGATTCAATTTTTTTTGCAGGGTTAAAAGAAAATCTTAATCATTAAACTTGTGTAACCTGTTGCTATGGTGCTCTTTTCCGATGTGGCTATATATATATATATATATATATATATATATATATATATATATATATATATATATATATATATATATATATATATATATATATATATATATATATATATATATATATATATAATAAATTAGTAAAAAATCTCTTAACAAAATTTTATTTCATTTTACACTGTGTTTCATTAAGAATCATCAGAAATTTGCACTGTTCTTTTAAGAACATTGAGCACTCTATTTTGTAGAATACATTTTTTAAATTGTTTAAATATATATATATATATATATATATATATATATATATATATATATATATATATATATATATATATATATATATATAATATAAGCACTTATCTATTTTTTTGATAAACCTTCTGAAGGAGTTGAACAGACTGTCAAAGAGTGCTCAATATTCTTAAAGAAGAGAGCATAGTATTGTTATATGTTAGTAACATAATATTTTTATATGTTAGTAACATAATATTGTTATATGTTGGTAACATATATATATATATATATATATATATATATATATATATATATATATATATATATATATATATACATTAGGGCCTTGCAAATTGACATTTTTTGTTTCAAATTGAATCTCAAAGCAGTTCTTGATCCGCGAGTCGAATCATGAATCGAATCAGCTATTCGTGAAAACCAAGTTTAAGTTTGTTTTTTTTTCCAAAAAGATAAAAATATTTTTTTGAACAAATTCTATATTATTTTGAACAAATATATATATATATATATATATATATATATATATATATATATATATATATATATATATATATATATATATATATATATATATATATATATATATATACGCATACATACATTATATATTTATGCACACTTATCTATGATCAAAATTTTGAATGTTATTATTCCAGGCTTTTGATTTAGTCAATAACCTCAAATAAATCAACTGTATTGCCTGCATCAAAGCAATACCATTAGTTTTGTTTTTGATTTTATCGATTGAATGCTATCATTTTGATTCTATCGATTGAATCATCAGTCTGGTTTTGTACATATTGATTCAAAATTAATAAATTATGATAAAAATTGATTTAAAACAAACAAATATTATAGTATATATTTTTTTAGTATTCCAACCATATTCGCGTTTCAACAAAGAAACTTGCCTGTTGTAAAGAAGGGAAAAGTAAACTAAAGCAGAAAGACTTTTTCTTGGAACTCGATATAAATATTTTTTGTGTTTCGTGTTTAAATTTTTTTTTTTAATGTTTTCAGCTTGAGATTGTTAAAATCAATATGAGTATATTTAAAATATTTTTTACTTAAAGATTGAAAGAATGAAAAATGTTTTTAATGCATAAAAGATATTTATATTTTCATTTGAATTATATTTTGATCTTTTATTTTGTGTTGATTGATATTTATTTGATGCATAAAATAAATTTACATTTTTTAAATTATACTAATGTTGCTTTTTTTTCTGTTTGTCTCTATTGCATTACGAATATTACACACTTTATATAGCTTTATATCTAAAAATTAAATAATTTATCAAAGTTATGCTTTAAGTTCAAAACTTGTTTGTGTTTTTATTTATATATAAATAAATAAAAATATATATATATATATATATATATATATATATTTTATATATATATATATATATATATATATATATATATATTTTATATATATATATATATATATATATATATAAATATATATATATATATATATATATATATATATATATATATATATATATATATATATATATATATATATATATATATATATATATACATCAGAAAGGAGTATCGTAGCAACAGGTTACAAAAAGTTAACGATTAAGATTTTATTTTAACCCTGCAAAAAAAATTGAATCCTCATAAAAGCAAAAAATGCAAAAAAGATAAAAGGTTCATCTTGCTGAATAAATAAAAATTTAAAAATTTCTACGCTCAAAATTTTTTTAAAAAAGGTTTAAAGATTATAAACAAAAACAGTAAAAGTAGCTTTAGCTGAAAGTAGATTTTATTCACATTCAGAGGACTTGTATTTTATTTAAAACATTTCTTAGTAAAGCTGCAAGTTATTTTCACAATAATTTTATTTTAAAAATAGTTAAAAGCCTATTAAATTATCTAAAATTAAACAAGTTACTCGTTGTCAATGATAAGTTTTTAAAAACGTTACATCCGTAGCCATTTTTAAAATTCTAAATTATTTTTAACTCTACTGCGCTTGCGTATAATAACTTTCCACTTATTTCTAAAGTCTAAACGACCGTGATATATGTATATATGAATATATTAGGTATGTTACATGAAATTTTAAATTTATTAAATCATAGGTTATTATATATCATTAGAAAGAGCTTCAATTCAATATACTAAAAGTGAAAAAGTTATCAAAGTTGAACAATCCTACAAAAAGTTATGATGTTTTAACTACCGATTTTTGTATATAAGGATTAATTGAAAAAATTGTGATCAAAATAGAGTTTTTATTAACTAAATTGATTATAATTTTTTTAATTTTTATCCAAACTTATACATATACATGTTTCTAGCCACCAAGCGTATCCGGGGGCTAGCGGGGCACCCCGCTACCATCTTAACCGGAAATAAACGTGAATTTTATTTATAAAAGAAAGTTTTTTAATGAAATTGATAAAATTTAAATGCAAGATGTTATTGTCATTGACTATTAGACCACAGCCAGAAATGGGAGGTTTATTATTGACTTGGCGGCAATATAGATGTAATGATTTCAAACATTGTAAAAAATTTATATAAATCTTTTTATCTTTTAAAAATTAAAAAAGTAAAACTTGTATCAAAAATGAAAACTATTTTTTACTAGTTTACAATATCATTGGAAGGGGCACCCATTGACTCGAAGAAAGAAGTGTGTCGTTGAACCCCCTCCCTTCCAAGCTTCTTACCTAAAAAAAAAAACATCTAATCTAAACACATCTTTTACAAAATACTCATTTCGAATAAAGGTGGTTTTGCATGAGTAAAACGATCTTTTAAGTTTATTAGTCGTGCTAGATACTTCTGTTGCCGATAAAGAGGATTTTATTGACTTTTTTTGAATTTTTTATTTTTTTATTAATGGAATTTAATATCTTAATCATTTAATACGCAGATAACTAAAATATCATTTAAAAAAAGTTTTTTTTAAAAATAACCTTTTTAAATCAGAAGGGGTTCTCTATCTCTTCCTATAAAAAACTGTACTATCCCAGAACGTTTTCAAAACGTTTAAAAAACTTATAAAAACGAATATTAACGATTTTTAAACGTTTTAAACACGATCTGTGCTTACTGGGATGATCATCCCAGTTATATATACATCCCAGATATATATATATATATATATGTATATATATATATATATATATATATATATATATATATATATATATATATATATATATATATATATATATATATATATATATATATATATATATATATATATATATATATATATATATATATATATATATATATATATATATATATATATTAGCTTGCAAATCGCTAACTTATTCCCCACCGGGTTATCTTATCGCGGAACTTTTTTGTGGAACCAAATAGATTTAAAAAGTTTTGCTTTTTCTCAAAGCTGGAATTTTTCTACTTTCAAAAACAAACTGAACTAAAATCAAATCAAATCAAGTCAATATCTTTCGAAATAAGTTATAAAATTTCAAAGAAATTTACAATAGTACAAGTACTAATATATAGTAAATATCTCAATATACAACATAATGTTATAGTAATAATAACTGATAAATAATAATAATAGCAATAATAGCAATAATAACAATAATAGTAATAGCAATAATAATAATAATAGCAATAATAATAATAATAATAGTAACAAAATGATAACAATTATAATAAAAGGAGAATTTCATAAATAAAGACAATAACAGCAGGAACAAAAATTTAGTAAATAATGACAGCAACAATAAAGATTTACTACGAAGTTGAGAATAGTTGAATGAGAAGAGATAAATAAATAGATAAATAAAGAATGCCAAAATATTGGTGCTAATATTAATAATATTAGAATGAAAAATTTAATAAAAAAATTATAAATGGCAGATAGAAAACCAGAGGAATTAGATGTAGATAGATAACTAGAGAATTTCAAAATGTTAAAAATATCAAACTAAAAACTAAAGGATCACGAATTGATATATATAATAAAGAATTTCAATATTAATTTATAGCAATATTTATTTGTATTTTTTTAACAAATAATTAAAAAGCTTGATTTTGAATTCAGAGATTGAATTAAGAGATTTTAGATCAGGAAGTAGTTTGTTCCATGAGCTAATACATTGATATTTAATGGATTTATTTCCATATTTAGCAGAGTGGTGTTTTGGAACAACTAAGTTTAAGCTATTGATACTGAGGATAGTGACAATTTGTACTATACCTTTTCGCCTATATATTAAAATTAAGCGACCACAAGGTCGCTTAATTTTAATATATAGGCGAAAAGGTATAGCACATAAGATTTAAAGTTATTATACTAAAAATATATTATTTTCAAGGCTTTATTTTAGATATGGGACAACCTTGAAATGATTTGTTTATGGGATTGTCCCTATACTTGAAATGCATATCTTAGATAGGACCCAAAAATAGCATGATATATATTTAGCAGAGTTTCTAGATTTTCATAATGGCGGACTTTGGCTAGCATTCCATTATATCTGCTAAGTTTTATTGCTTAGTCATTCAGATGGCCTTGAGAAAAAGAGTGGTCCTTAAACTAAATCTTGTGGGATGTCATTGAAAAAAGTTTTTTTCTCAATAGATAATATTTCGAATTCTTCTGATCTCGTTTCTCTTTTATAAGTGTTATTTAAATGCAATTTAAAATATTTTATTTTATTTTTTATTGCTTTGTTAATGGTATTTTATAATTAAGATACCTTATCTTATTTGTATGTAGGTTTTCTTAAACCTACATACAAATGAAAAGTGAAATTTTTTAAAGTCATTGTCAACAGCTTAGAAATCATTTTCATCTTTCATTAAGAAACAGTGTAATTAATGCCTTTCTGTATTTTTTAAGTTTTTCTAATCTTCCATTATACAAGACTGTGATTGTTGAATCGGTATCATTCCATTCATGGCAGAGATTTTTCCATTTATGGCAGAAATTGATTTGCTTTTATTTCCGCAACTAATGTTTTACAATATAATCAGACGTTGAGTTGTGATATTATTCCGTCTATCTTTTAAGATTTCGTTAAAACCGCAAAACAGACGCTCAACTATATAGGAATATAAGCACTGCAACTCGTTTAGTCGCACTGCTATTATTAGCAGAAGTTTTGCCTAACTGTGTTTTTAGAGGTAAACTTTGACAACATTTATAAATATATAAATTTCATCAATTTCATAAGTAGATAAAATTCAATAACGTTTATTTAAAACCCTACATACAGGTTTAATTCAATGTTAAGTACAACGCTGTTTTTTTTAATTTTTTTTTATACTGATTTATTACTTTTTTTTTTTTTTTAATTTTATATAAAAAACAAAATATATTTTTTAAATATATGTTTTGCTATTCATGTAAAAAATAAGTTACAAAGCAACGTTTAGATTACAAAATTAAAATACAAAAAGAAAAAGGGATTAAAGATAATGCGGGCGATTGAAGTCGACGCAAGGTTTTTATAGAGTTAAAATTTAAATGATACGAGCTTTAATCAAATATATTTAATATATGCAAGTTATAGCATGTTAAATATAGTTAATATACGAGTTAGCAGTATATAACATATACAGTTATAAACGAAAAGATCCGACCACTCAAAACTTATAGCAAAAATTTGTTTGTTTTTTTACTTTGTTGTAATAGGTGTAAACCAGCACAACCGATAGCAGTAATTGCGCAATAAATAATAATTACCAGTCATTGCTTAATGGAAGATGCAACGTATCGTGGATTAAGGCGTGAGTTTGGTGGCCGAAAAACATTGACCTCGTGAGCTTCAAAATATAGGAAATAAATTAGCGACTAGCTAGCATTAAACTAGCTTTATAGCAATTTTTGAGCGATTTATTTTCAATAGCTTTACGAGTTACCGCTAGCTAATTGCTAGCTTAATTAGCTAGCAGTCTTCGTGGACTATTTGCTAACTTTATTGTTACGAATATCGCTAGCTAGTTGCTATTCAATTTCCCATCGGGTAACTTGCGGATTGTCTAAGAACATAACACGTCGCTACATATTACTAGATCGAACTTTGTCTTTGTCTTTGTGAAATTTGATGTAATCAAGAATATTTTTTCAAGATAAGCAAGGCAACACAGTAAAATGCAGGACAGTGAAATCAAAAATCTTTGGAAAGAAGACTTGCTGTTCGGAACTAACATTCATTCTAGGAGGCAGTTAGGTAAGAGTTTGTGAGCTTGAAGTCTGTATACCCTTTAGAGACAAACGACATAACATATTGTTAGTTTTTGGAATGTTAATTTATAATCTTCCATTGGTTTTTCATTAGTTTTGCACGTTAAGCAAGTGACGTTGTAGCCGTACTCTAATATAATAATGATTGAATTATACATGATTTTAATGCATATAAGATATTTTTTATTGGTTGCTAACTACACAATCATCCACGGAACGCGTAATTGTTTAGTGTATTCCCTGCACGCATATTTTGTATTTATTTGTAATTAGGAATGATAATTATGAATTTATCTTTTCGATCGTATTTGTACAATTAAAATATATATATATATACAATTTCGTTTATCTTTTTAATTACTTTACTTGGGTGGTTTTGTGAGCGTAATTTTATTAACTTAAATATGCGCGTGTTAGCCTGTATAATATTAGCATACGAAGATGACTGATTAACGCGACTGAAGTAAAACTGTTTTGCGATTTATAATTAAGAAAGGATCTTGATTTATACAATAAACTTATTACACAGGCTATTTTTATTTTAATGAGACCGGTATGGTTTCTCCATGATAGATTTTTATTAAAACAAAAAGTTATGAAATATTTAAATATTTTTCTCGCTTTATTTTATTTTTAATGATTACTAGTATTCGCAACTTTATCGGAAGATCAAGTGAATGTATTATTTTATGGAAAATTATGGAATGTATTATTTTATGGAAAAAAATGAAGGTATTTGTTTGACAATCAAGGATAATCTATTTTCTTTGAAACATTGGTTTAATAGTATATGTAATTCATCAAATGTACTGCAGTTATAAAAAAAATAGGTCACATGCACTGCAGTTATAAAAAAAATTAGGTAAAAATATAGAATAAGTTATTTTAGCATTTCAATAGAAACATTTGATCGGGGTATACTCATAACGTAAGACATCATCATATCTGTCACTTGACGTTAAACTATATGGAAACCAACCTTAAACATTTGGGTGCTTAAAACGTCATAAAATGAGCAATCCCGGTTTCGGCTTATCCGGATAAGTATATTATCATAAAAATACAAAGTGCAAAGCTGCAGGATAAAAACATTTCATTTCGTTAGCGTATATTTATACGATTTTTTATTTATTATTTTATATTTCTATTTATTTTTATATAAAATATTTATTTTATATATACATGTATTTATTTATAATAATAATAGTAATAATAATAAAGATAATAACAATTAATTTACAATCTATTATAAATATACTTATTAAAATATTCATGTATTATAATAAACATTTTCCCGATAGACTCTTTTTGATATTTTTTGTATTTATTTAAAATATTTGTATTTTATTTATTCGTTTTAAGTATTTTTATCTTATATTTTGATATAAATGTGTGCTTTTTTTTTAAACTATTTCCAAATTGAAGATCGAGACATTTTCCTTGATGAAACTTAAATCTTTTAATACTAAAGTTAATAATAAATATCTATGTTGATTAACTAAGGTGCTAAAACACCTATCATTTTCTCGTTGATACAAGTTTTAAAGGGCTATAAATAAAAAATTTAGAATTACAAGTTATAAGGTCTTTATTGGTATCTTGTAAGCTTTTCTTTTAATTTACTATTTCGTTTACAAAGTTCATTCCTTTTAATAATTAAGACTTTAATCTGCCCCATATATACGTATACTCGATAATATTGAAACAGTTAATAATATGGGGGCAGTTAATTTAATATAGAAACTAATGTTTATAGAATCAAAATCACTGAAAAGAGTGAAATTAGTCAGACTCAGTATTGAAAATATTAATTGTTAGTAAATGTCATCATATTCTTAATATTAATGACATTAAATAACAATAAATAATAATTTTAATATTATTGACAATATTAAGTAACACAAATTTGACTGGTTTATTTAATGGCTTTAATTATATAAATTTTAGTTTCTGTATAATGTTTTCAGACACGTCCAATACTTTTAAACATTAGCATTTTTATTCTTATATATTATCAATATTTGTAAATGTTTACTTAGTATTAACTAATTTACTTTTTTTTAAATATCCTTGAACTTTGTTTAAAAGTATTGTATTAATTGATTGAATAAGAATTTGACTAAAATAACCACTTTAGCTTAAAACTAGGAAAAAAGTGTATTCCTTTTTTTAAATATGTTTAAATGATACTATGCATGATTTTCTTATTATTTATTTAATAAAACTATTATAAAAATAAGAAAGTAAAAAGAGGTGGTTTATTTTGAGTGAGGTTTTTAGTAAAGTTACTGAGCTATGTAGTTAATTGCAAATACTTAATTAATATTTAGGTTTTATTAAATCTTAAATGCATTTGAAAAGCAAAACCATATTCATTTTTTTCAAAATGGCAAAATTCAACTTATTAGTGTTTTTTAAAATGCAACAGTTTAAATTGTGAATAAAATTTGATAATTGTTGCATGATGGTTTAAGCAACTTTTAGTTTTCCAAATGTTAAAAATTCTGAAATGTTTGCAAACAACTGTAACTCTTACAAAAAATAGATTAAACCTTTAATTAAAACCTTAAAGCTTAAAATATGAGATAATATGGTTTTTAAAATATATGAAGTATATGTCGCTAGTTGTAGACTTTATTATGCCTAAAATATGAGATAATAATTTTACCTTTTGTATTGGAGTAGAAATCAAAGTTAGAACAGGAAACTATATGTAGACTTGATTCAATTATATGTAGGCTTGATTCAAGTCAAACTAAATCTTTTTTGGTATTTTTAAAAATAACTTTCTTCAAGTTTTTTAATGAAATGCTGCCAAATAATTATGATAAAGTGAAGAATCATTAGTTATAGAGTATTGATTTTATAATTTGAATTTTACTTAAAAAACAATCAATTGCTTTGTAAAAAAAAAAAAAAATTAATTTAGAAAAAACAGGTAATTTTTAATACTAGCTTAAGAGCTTCAGATAAATAATATTGCTCTAAGGGAATGTCTAAAAGAATATTAAAACATTTTGAGGAATTTCAATTAATAAAAAAACATTAGTAATACTCAAAAGAAGAATATAGCAATATTTCCATAATACAACATTATCAATGTCAGTAAAGATTGTTTGTTTAAAGTAAACTTTAATTTAAACCAATTCAAATAAAATCAAGCTTTTATTTACTCTTTATAAAATTTATGAATCAGATAAAGATAAGATTTGAAAAATTTTATGTGGTGAGTGCTAAACCTTTTTAAGAACTGGATTCATATTTAATGAAACTGTTATGTAAGAGAAGTGTTTATCATAAATTTATATATGCCTTGATAACAGTCAGTTATATTTGGTTGTTTTTGTTAAAGTAAGCTTTTTATGTTAATGTGTTAAATAATTTTTTTAGTTTAAATATAATGATCTTATGAAAGTCAACCATGTCTGTTTCTACCTACACATCTAGTAAAGGTGATGGTGACTTGCATCATCAACAAAATGACTATGCTAGGTTGCGCAACCAATGTTTAAATGCAATGAATGAACTAGAAATACTAAGAGCACGCCATGCTGAAATAATGAATCAATGCGAAAAAGCTGCACAAGAAGCTGAATATTTTAGAAAGCAGCACAAGGGTAATATTTTTCTGATTTTTTAGACAACTTAAATAAGGAACCAAAAAAAAGGGTCTGACCCCTGTTAAGTTAAACTTTGGCAGATATGAGGTATTAGTTGAGTTAAGGCAATTTTTCTTTATTTGCTAAAGTTTAAACAATAAATATACACCATTATTTTAACGAAAAAGTTGAAAAATGTTTCAGTAAAAGAAGTTTCATATTGAATTCATGCAGTACACTCAAAGCTAGCCATCTTTTTTTGAGATATTGGTTAAAACTATAAAATAACTGTTTTTTAAATTTGTTATAAACAGTTTTATTTTAATTAATTTTGTAACAGTTTTATTTTACCCCTATTTTATGTCTGATAATGATCTATTCTATTCATATCTAAATACAACTAAAAAATATAAAAAGTATTATGAATAATAATATTAATAAAAACTTACAATGTAAATAACAAAACAACTTGATAAAAAATTTTCATTAAGATATTTTAATTTCCTAATTTTAATACAAAAAGTGTGAATTTATCGAAGAAATTTGCTGAAAGGGGATAAATGAATGGTTCGACTTAACAAAGCTCGAATTATTCTAGGTTTGATTTTACCGGATAATTTTATAAATAATCAACTTTAATGATTTCTTCATTTTTTTAAATTTTTAAATACATTTTTTCAAACAGAACAATCTTGTTCATTATCTTTAGTATTTCGCCTTAATGTTGAAAATTGGGCAATTATAAAAGAAACAATTTTTCAGACAAAAAGAAGTATTGTAAATACATTTATAAAAGAAACCATAGTATTCTTTTATTTAGTTTCTTGTGTCATTACAAAATTTATTAATCCAATAATATATTTTAAAGATAAATAGCAAATTATTTTCTGATTTTCTTATAATATATATATTTAGAAAAAACGTCAAATGTAGCATAAACATAAAAATTAATTATTAAATATTAATTATAAAAAAGTGAACTCTTTGTAAGATGTTGTTTGAAGTTTGTAATAATGTTTTTTCAATTTTTTGATAAAATCAACCATCATAACAAAATATACAAACAAAAAATTGAAATATTAAAAGTGATGCTAATATAAAACAAAATTTTAACATGAACTATTTTTTAGCTAATAATTTTTTGTTTTATTTTTTAATTTTTTTTTTTAATTTGGTAATTATTTTAGTTATTGTTTGTTATAAGAAATTGTCTAAATAAATATGCTTGCTATTGCAAGTTGATAAAAGTTTTTTTAATGTTGTTTTTCTGGTTTTCCTTCCTAAACATTTTTTTAAACTCAAAATTAAGTTTTAAATAAATGGCTGCATCATCAATTTGCACAAAACAAAAGTTAAACTTTTTTTTTTATAATGCAATTTAAATCACAGTGATTATTTTTCAATAAACCTTATATACAGAGATATAATTTTAATAATAAAAAATAAACTAAAAAACTTTTATTAAATAATTAAATTAATTTTTCTAATTGTTACTCTAATTTTTTTTTTAATCATTTGTAGTTGCAAAGTCGCAAGTAGAAATTTAAGAAACAATCATTTTAAAAATTCAAAAATTTAATATATTTTAATTCATTTATGCAAATGTTGAGAAAAGAAAGAAATTTGTTAATATCAAATATTTAAAAAAATGCAATATTAAATTTAATTGTCTAATGTTAAAAATAAATAAAAGAAAATAAACATTCTCTTATAGTAATAATAAAAATGCTGTTAAATAACATTTAACTCGTTTTGTGGTAATTAATATTATTGCAGTAATTTAAAAAAATTAATGTCTTAAAAAAAAAAAGTAAAGATACATTTTATGATGTCAAATATTGCGTCTTTATATAACCAGCCAACAATACTTTGTTTTGAAAATTTGACAACAGCTTTTAACATGTTTTAAAAATTTGAACATTTAAAAAATGTGCTGAAAAAACTTACTAGACTAAATATAGGAGATAATAAAAAGAAATTAACTAAAATTGCCTTTCTCAATTTCTAACACAAGTAGTCACCTTTCCAACTCACTTTTCAGACAATTTCCAGACATCTGATCAATTACCTACTCTACTCATGTCTTGTTTCTGATCCTAGTCAGTGCTCAGTTTCTTTACATTCACTCTTAGGTGCTAATCTGATCACAGTTTGAATTCTCTGTAACTATCTCATTTTTCTTCATCATCAGAATCCCCTTATCATTGTACCTTATACAACTACCTTAAAGCTAATTGTAATTCCTTCCGTGATTTTCTTTGTGATGGCCCTTGGGTTGAAATCTTTTGTCTTTCTGCTAACAAATATGCTTCTTATGTAACTTCTTGGATTCAGGTTGGCATGAAATTTTTTATTCCCTCTTGATGATTCCAAGTCAAGCCTTAGTCTTTTCCATGGTTTTCCTCTCGATGTGTTGGTGCAATATTCAATTAAAATAATTATTTCCATCACTGTGAACCACAGTGACCGCCAGGTTTGAAGTCTCCCCACACCCATTTTTTTTGTTGTTGTTATTAAGAAAAAAAAACGTTAGTTAAATTAAGTATTGAGAACCTCCTTAGAAATAGTTAAAATAAAAATTTGACTTTAGATTAAAAGGGGAGGGGCGGTACATGGGTAGTTTTATTGAAGTTCATATGTTTCACATAATTTTAGGAAAAAACAAAATTTATCACCTGCCTTAACCTAATTTTACTCCTTACTAGTGTATACTTTTATTATAAATGCATTAAAAAGTGTTTAAGCATATATTCTCAAACAGATAACGTAGCAAAAAGGTTTAAGTAAAAAACAATAACAACAAAATATAAGAAATGCATTTAATGTAAACAAATATCTAGACTAAGCTTTAGAATGCATAAAAAGTATTATATATTATTGATACTTAATCAACATTATCTTACATGCTATTAAAATACTTAAGATGCAACACTTTTTGAAACTACTATTGTAGGTCAACAATATATTAACTTAAATTTTAAATGTGTTAACTATTTATTTAATGTTGAAAATTCAACAACACTTGACTTCAATCATTCAGCATAATCAGAGTGGTATGTCGTCTCTTATTTTTAAAGGGATCCCAAACTCCCAACACATGTTGTATTCATATTAAAGATAATATTGAAAAAGATTTGAACCAAGTTTTTTTGATTAAAAATAAATAATGAATGCATACTGAGAAAAAATAAGTATTGTTGTTTTAGTCAAAGCTCGCTTTCTCCATTTTACTCAAAAAATCAGAGTCTTTAAATTATGTTGCAATCTACAGACTTCGGTAATTCCTTTGAAGCACGTTTAATTCATAAAAGTTTTAGTATTTGACATCACGGTAGACTTTTCATAAATGAAAAATGTAATTAAACAAAGCTGTACTTTTCTACTTTTATTTAAAAAGTACGCTGAACTATTTTTTTAACATACAGCATAACAAATTTATTTGTATTATTTTTCCAAACATCGCAAAAAAAAAATTTGTAAAAAGTAAAAATAATAAATTATTTTTATTTTTTAGGTATCTTACTTATATTTCTTATGTTTTTAAATTAAAAACAAATATTAAAGCTTTATCTTATGATTTTTATACGAGTATTTTACATTATATAGAATGTTATATAAGGACTCTCGTTTTTGTGCAAGAGAGTGCAGTATTATACATTCTGATTCTTAATTAATTTCATTTAAACAATGGGGACTATATTCTAACTTCATGACTCTGGTCATTTTTACACTAGAACGTTTTTTGTTCTCCCGTCGAAAAAAAGTCTTTATTAACAATTGATTTTATTAACCAGGCTTTCACAGAAAGCCGTGTAAACGCACGTCTTTATATATGACTAGGCAAATAACATTTTGCTATGACAATTTGACCGCGGCTATTGCAAAAAATATTTTAAAAACGCATTAAATAAAAAATATTCTGAAAAAGTGAAATTAATTACATCAAAATTTCTTAACAAATGTTTTTATATTAGCAAAACGCTTTTAAATAAAGTAACAATTTACTGATGTTTTTTTTATTTTTTTATTTTTTAATATAATTGACAGTTGTATATATTTTTTTAATTTATAATATATAAATTGTTTAAGTGTGCATTTCTATAATAAACGTTATTAAAAGATAAAAAATTGTTTTGTTTTTATAAACGATGACATTCTAAGACTACGGAAATCTCTATAATGAATTTTGATATAAGAATAATTAAAGTTAATACATTTGAAAAGATAAAGAAAATTTTATTAAAAAAAAAAAAAAAAGTTTTAAAAAGCTGTTACAATTAAATTAGTTTGATCTTAAATACTTCTGTATTATCGAAACTCTTTTTAATGAAGTAACAAAACACTTCTAATTAATTTTTAAAATAAGTATTAATAAACTGTTTTATTTTTATTTTTATAATTATGTTTTTTTTTTATGAGAAATGTTTATCTTTTGAAACATTAAATAATAAAAAAAAGTACAAATGTTAAAACAAAGATTGAAATGGTTTTTTCACGTGTAAATTAAATAGACTAAGCAATTTAGTTTGATGAGTTTTGTTTTAGTTGGGTTATATATATATTTAAATTTTTGTATTTTTTCTTTAACAAAGTATTTTATTTTCTCTTTCGTTAAGATTTTTTTTCTTTTTACAATTTTTTTTTTTAGATAAGTTTAGGTAAGTTTTTGTAGCGCATTTTTAATTTTTGAAAGTATGTCAAAAGCTGTGGTCAAATCGTTAAAACATAATTTTTTGCTTGGTCATATAAAGACGTTCGATCGAACGCCTTCCTGTGAAAGCCTGTTAACTGACAGTATTAATTATAGATATTTGATGAACGGTTAAATTTTTTTATATAAAAAATTATAATTATGCTGATTTAGTTTAAGTTGTCAAAATGTCATAATATCATGTGTGTCAAATGTCATGTGTGTCAAATGTCATGTGTGTTAAAAAAACATTTTATGTATTTCCAAATTATGTATTGTATTTGACATTTGTCTCTTAACATTTAAATTAAAAAACTAATGAAATTTA